TAACACAAACCAGGCTGATTCTCTGATTAAGTAGTTAGTGTCGTTCTGCTTTAAATATGAGTAAACTGATGTAAAGTATTGGCTGTAAATGCTAACATGTGAGTCTTGCCTTTATCCTCTCAACAAGGAATTGAGACCCTCTTTTTAAGGAATGCAGTTTTTCTAGTAGCTGATAAACTTACTTTGCATTGAATATCAAAGATGTGTGATTAAAAACCTAAAAGTGCAACGATAAGACTTTTGCCTCATCATACTGTCTCAAAACTTTCTGGAAAGAGCTTGTTCATCAGTACCAAGTTTCTTATGTTGTTCCTTTGTGGAAGGCTATCTAGGAAATGTTAGTCAGACACAGCTGGAAGCAGTAAAGGCAGAGCGCTGCCCCCAAAGATTTGTGGGGAGAGGTGTCATGTAGGCTGGGAGGAGGAAATTATGGCATTGCTCGGGTGGCAAAACAACTGGGCCTATAGATATAACAATAACTTTTGTTTCTTTATGCTTATCCCTTCAGGTACCCGTTTGAGCCACCAAAGATTCGCTTTTTGACCCCCATCTACCATCCCAACATTGACTCTGCTGGAAGGATTTGCCTGGATGTTCTTAAGTTACCCCCGAAGGTAAGAGAGTCCTTGGCTGTGGGTAAGTGAGCCTGGGCAGGATAATGAACTCCTTATCTGCTTCTTGTAAAAGCCTGATTGAATGTCTGTTTGCTCCTGACTTATTTACAGGGAGCAGGGAATGAAGTTTTAAGTGACATCTCCTTTGTTTAGAGCCAGAACATGATGTTCTCTGTTCCATATAAGTTTCCAAGGCTTTAAAGATTGGAGTCAAAATGCATTAGGTCTGAAAGTGAGTTGCACAGCAGAGACGTGCAGGATACAGCCCAGAGAATCTCCTGAGTTGGAAGGGACACACAAGGATCATCAGGGCCACGAGCTGGATTTGCACAGAACAAGCCGAAGTCCCACTGTGTGCCTGACAGCTTTATCCAAATGCTGTGTGAGCTCTGGCAGCCTTGGAGCCATGACCACTGCCCTGGCTGTCAGTTGGGCTTCCTTGTATTGAGAGTGGGTCTGCTGTGTTCCATGGGGCACTATGTGCTGGAAGCTCAAGGCAGCTGTGGGCAGGTTGGGTTGAAGTGCTGTGGATTCTAAGGTGTCTCTGGGCTGCTGTGTGCTGGTTTCTCTCTGAGCTGCTGCTCTCATCCTTTTTACTTACAGGGTGCGTGGAGGCCTTCCCTGAACATCTCCACCCTGCTGACTTCCATCCAGCTGCTGATGGCAGAGCCCAACCCTGACGATCCTCTCATGGCTGATATCGTACGTGAACTCCTTTCCCTCTCTCCTGGCCATGGACACAGGCAGGGAGGGAATGAGGGGCTGGATTTAGGCTCAACTTCCACTTCACTCACTCTGAATTGACACACTAGGAGTGTGGCCTGACCTGGATCAGCTGGGGCATCTTTGGGCTTCCCTGAAGCAGCTGAGGCCAGAAGATATGGTCAAGGTTTTGTTTTCAAGCCATTATCTTCAGTGCAAATGGCAGCACGAGTTCTTCAAGCAAACTACATGAATTTTACATTTCATGCTTGTTGCAGTTTTAGTCTAGTTTAGGAGTCCTAAAGCCAGACTTTGTCCCATCTTCTTGGTGACGTGTATTCAATCAAGTCTCTGTCCTTGTTTTGCGCTTCCCATTTAGTCCTCGGAGTACAAGTACAACAAGCAGCTGTTCCTGCTCAACGCCAGGGAGTGGACCGAGAAATACGCAGGGCAGCTGAGGGTAAGGACCTCTGTTCGCTTGGTGTAGCTACCTCTACAGTTCTTTTGTCTGTTTCCCTTTCACAGTTGCTTTGTTCTTTCCTTCCTCCCCTTCTGCTCTGTGTTTTGGATATGTATTCAATTTCATAATTTTTTTTAAGCTCATTGCATTCTCTCCTTCCAATTAAATGTGTTCATTCACTAATAACTGCCATCCTCCTCAAGGAGGAGGAGGGACAGATGGATAAACCCTTCCCAGGGATCCTGCAGCCCCCTGTCCTCCCTCAGCTCTGTTCCCTGTCCTCCTATGCCTGATGCCCACCTGTGCCTGTTCTCCACCTGCTCATCCATTCACTGACTGGTCTCCCTATTCCCTGGTGGAATTCAGCCTTCCTCCCATCGTCCTTCCTCTCTTCCTGCCTCCTTTTTTCTCTGTCACCTCAGCAATGAGTCTTATAAAAATAAAATCACACTTAAGCAGATCAAAACCTCTGCCCAAAATCAGTTACCTTTGGGCCTTCTCCCTTCTATAGGTGCCTTCCCTCCCTGCAGCTGATTTGGGTAACACCCTTTCTGGGATGGGGATATCTTCCTTGTGGGAGCCATGCTCACTGCTCCAGCTCTGAATGCATTTCCAAGTTAACTGTGGTATTCAGGAAAGCACAGAGTGCAGCTATCCCTGCAACAACACACAGAACCCTGGAGCGACCTGGCTTATCTATGTGTGTTCTACTGCTCTGCTCAACCACTATCTTGCTCTCCTGTCATCCCCCTTCCTAAAAATCCCAGCAGCAGGAGCAGAATAATAAAGGCTCACTGCAAAAGAGCCAGAGTACAGTCGTCTCTGACCTTGGTGGAGCATAGGGCATTCCAATGACTGTAAAATTAAATTATTCACAGCTCTTTTATTTCTTGGGTCCTCACAGACTTCCAAGCCTTTGGAAGAGAAAATCATCCAAAGTGAAACAAGCACCAGCAGTGAATCGACCATGCAGAAAAGAAAAGGGGTTAACATCAGTAGGAAGGAGAAGAAGTCCCGCCCAGATTCCTGAGGGGGTTTTGTTCTGTTTGGGCTGTCACTGTCCCCTTCCCCTCACACAGGTTACAAGGAAAGAGTCTGCCTTTAAATGGTTGCATCAGCTTTGGGTTTCTGTTTCCTTGGGGTGGTTTTTTTTTTGTGTGTGTGTAAAGTTCCATTATCTTAATAAAATATAAAGCTTTAATTTCTATTTTTCCATTTTGTTGAGTGGAGGTTTTGGAATATTTGGAAGAAAAGATGTGTTGATGGGGCACAGCCTGGTTTTTGGTAGCGGAAGAGAGCCACAGGAGTAGCTTCTGTGAGAAGCTGCTAGAAGCTTCCACCCTGTGACAGTGCCAACCTCGGATGGCTCTGAAGATGGAGATGCTGCTGGCCCAATTAGGTTGGTAATGCTTCTGTGATGACATTTAAGAAGAAAATCAAAACAGCACAGGGGCAGATTTTACCCAGGGGTGGAGAGGCAGGGCCATGCTGCTGTGGCCCGGGGTGAGCCTTGCCTGCCTGGCTGCCCCAGCCAGGGGGCAGAAGGGCCGGGAGGGTGTCTGCCCGCCCTCGGCGGGGCCCCGCATGAGGAGAGGCCTTAAATGGTGCCAGCGCTGCAGGGCCACTGCTTGCACAATGGCAGCGAGGCCACCTGACCAGCAACGGAAATACTGCAAGTGAGTCCCTGACGTGGAACCTAGACGAGATCAACTCAGCGCTGCAGGATCTTGCAAGAATTAGTGGGACTTGTTGGCAAGAGTACCTACAAGCAGCAGATTTTCTTCTAGTCAGCGAAGAGGAAGACATGAGAGCACATGAGAAAAAACAACATGCCAGCACCAAAGTTAGTGGGGGAGGAGGTTGCTCCAAGCGTTTGAGCCAAGATTCTCTGCAAGCCAGGGTGAGGACCATGGTGAAACAAACTGTCCCCCTGTAATGCATGAAGTCCACGGGGGATGCAAAAGAAATTCACTTGCAGCCCATGAGAAAAGGGCTTACACTGGAGCGGGTGGATGCCAGAGAAAGCTGTAAGCCAGTAGGAGACCCAAATAGAGAGAGAGAGAGCCCCTGCTTCCAAACTAGAGCAGCCTATCCTTAAAAGACTACACACCTGTGAATGAGTGACCCACACCACAGCAGTTTTGGGAATACTGTTTGCCCATGGGAGGGACCTCACAGCATAGCAAAGACTCCCCTCCCTGAGCAAACAGAAGAATATCTCAAGTGACCAACTGACTAAAACCCCCACCTCCTGTCTCCCTGCTCTGTCAGTGGGAAAGAGGGAGGGCCTGGGGGAGAAAAAGGTGTTTTAAAGGCTCATTTTACTTCTCATTCTCCTCTTCTGACTCTATTAATAATACATTTCCTTTATACCTTTAAATTTGAGTCTGTTTTGCCTTTAGTGGTTTTTTTTCCTAGTCCTTAACTCATGAGCCCTTCATTTCTTTTCCTCTGCTCTGCCCAACTGCAGCAGGAGAGGGTAAGGAAACAACTTTCCTGCCTGGTGTTTGGCCAGTGTCAAAGCATGACAAAAGGAAAACTGGAACCACCACTTCAGCTTCCCGTTTCCAACTTTCAGAGACATGGGAACAGCACCAAGTAGTTCAGTTTCTATTTTTACAACCAACCGAGAGCAGGAGCTGAGCAGCAGACAGGTCAGAACCAGCTGGTGGGAATCCTTTCCCAGGAAAGGCATAATTTTCCATGTAACCTCAACGGCTGAGTCATTAAACTCAAGTCTTATATAACTCTGGCTCTCCAGAGCAGTCTATTACATTCCAGTTGGATCATTGAGGATAACCTGGATGGTCTTGGCTCTGTTGTGTCTCCAGGGGGTGACCAGTGACAAGAACCAGCTCACGGCAGGTGAGGAAGAGCCCAAAGGATTCTGAGGGATCTGGGAGGATGGATGTGGAAGAGCAGGATGTCAGCGATATGATGTGCAGGGTGAAGAGCGCAAAGGTTAGGGCTGACAGAAGATGGCAGTAGGGGCAAGTCAGGTGATCAGCCTCTTTTTCTGCAGGTTCCCTGCTGGGAACTTAAACCATGTCCTGTCCCTGCTCCCAGAAAAGTGAGTCAGGCCCATCTCTGGAGCAGAGACAGGACTCAGTGAGGTTCTCAATGCCTGGGAAGCAATGAAGCTCAGTGATGAGCTGATCTCTGCTGGTTAAGGAATGGCCGTGTCTTCAGCTGTTCCCAAAGCCCTGACCATCTCCCTGTTCCACTCAGTCGAAGTTGTAGTAAAGGCAGAAGGCGAAGAACATGGCAAAAATCTGGAATGATGGAGGTGAGAGAGGGTCAGCCCCAAAGCAGAGCTGGGCCTGGCTGCTGTTGGAAGCAGAGAGGATCCAGCATAGCTGGAGGATCCCTGGCCTGGGGCCATTGCTGTGCCCTCAAGGGGCCTGGGCCAGCTGGCCTGGTGCTGCACGGGGACATCAGGGTGAGGAGATCAAGAGGGAGCAAAACAAACCCTCCCTTGTTCCTTCACCTGCCCCATCTGCAGTGGAGAGCAGGCTCTGTACCTTGAGAGAGACCTGAGTTCCTTTGTGCTCTCCTTGCCCACTGAGCAACCCCCCTGCACGAAGAGCTCTGCCTGCCCTGGCCCCAGCCCCCCTCATTACCTCAATGCCCAGCACGGCTAAGCTGCAGGTCCCAGGGAGAGAGATGTACCTCTGCAGGGTCCTGCCGAAGGTAGAGAAGCAGCCCTGGAGTAGAGAGGGGCCCTCTCAGGTTCCCCATGGCCACACGGAGCACTGAGGGGGACTGGGTTGCAGGGGGATGTAGGGGGTCCCCTGTGAGGCAGGACAAGCTGAGGACTTTGGGAGTCACTGGACTGTGGAAGCACAGCGAGGCAATGTCCCAGGCAATGTCCCTTATGCTCTGCTTCATGACCCTGGGACAGGCTGAGGCTTGGACAGGGACATGGACACAGCAAAGTTGTGCTCTACCTGCTCATGGATGTAGCCAGGGCTTCTGTCCTGGCACTGCTCCCAGCCCAGGACCTCTCCCGCCTGCAGAAGCCCATCCCGGACACAGCATGCCCGTGGCCATGGCATCTCTGGGTGCAGCTCCTGGAAGCGGGAGCCATTCCCAAAGTCTTCGGGTCCTAAAACACCACAACACGAGAACTGGAACAGAAGGGAAACACCATTACGATAGTTACCCTTGGTGGATCCTGTGTGTCCTTCAGGAGCCTCCCAGCTGCTCACCGTGACCATGAGGGTGTTCCAGGCTGTGGAGAAGACCTCAGCACCCTCATCCCCACCATAGTTCCTCTGCAGATCAGACAGGAATTGCTCGGGCTGGACCTGTGGAATTGGTGCCAGGGCTGGGGCTGTTCCTCTCCCACTCTGCTCAGCACCAGCTCCTTCTGAGGGGAATTGGCCACCCAGTGGATCCCCCCCACCTGCTTTGAGGTTTGTGTTGTGGTGCTGATGACAGAGGTGAGGGAAAGGTCCCTACACCATCCCCATAGCTCTGCACCATGGCCACGGTGTGACAGAGGGAGGCTGGTGACACTGGGGATGGTGCCAGTACCTGTTTCCAGTGCACCAGAAAGAGAACGGCTCCAATGAGCTGCGTGAGGAAGACAAGGCTGACGAGGATGAAGAACTGGAAAACAGCAGGTGAAGAGTCAGAGACTAGCCTGATCCCACAAGAAGCTTGCTCACATTATCCCTGCCCTCCTCTGCACCAGCCCTGCCTATGCCCTGTGTCCCTGAGACCAGGGATGTGTATACAGCTCCTGGGGACAGATGCCACATCTCTGACCACTGGCTGCAATGCAGGGGTTATAAACAAGCACTGTCTGCAATAGACTGGGGATGCTGAAGGAATGGGGATCTTGGTGTTCAAACAGGCATTTCTGCCCCTCACCAGCAGTGGGGAGGAAATCTTGGAAATGTCGTGGAACAAGCCAGTGGCTTCAGAAGGAATTGACCCTACTTGGTGGCTTTATAAATCTTCTGAGCTCTAAACTGAAACTCACAAGGTGGGGAGTGGAGGGCAGGACATATTGAGGATGAGGAACACCATCTCCTGGCTCCTCCAGAAACACCTGCATCCCCCATCACCCTCCAGCACGTGACTCCTGCCCCCAGTGCCCCCTGCCCACATCCTGCAGCCCCTTCCCACCCATCTTCCCTCCCTCACCAGCAGTAGGAGTGGGCGGCTCCGGCGCAGGGCCCCACAGCAGCCCAGGAAGCCCAGCAGGGACAGGGCAATGCCCACGGCCAGCAGCAGCCATGCACCTGCACTCAGCACAGCCCTGGCAGCCACGATGTCCTGGAAGCCAGCCGGGTCCACGGCCACCCAGACTCCCATGCCTGCCAGGCACGTCCCCCCAGCCTGCAGGGGGAGGTCAGGAGATGATCATGGACTCAGGGGATGTCCAAGGTTTAATCCCCTCCCTGGGAGTGGGTGTCTCCACCACTGATCCAGACGGAAATGTCACCCCATGTGGATGGGGGATGCTTCAACCCTTGTTTCCCTCCCTGGGACCGGTGTCACCCACCCCTGAGCCAGCTGTCCCCAGGCACAGGTTCCCTCCACCCCTGCACCCCACAAGGCCCAGGTGGACTCACAAACACCAGCACGTTGAAGATGAACATCAGATACTTCATGCAGCTCAAGACACCCATGGGGACACTGGGAGGGGGGACACGGCAATGTTTGTCCCTATGGAGGGGAGAGCAGAGCCCTGGCCACAGCCAGCCCTGACTTGTCCTGGACCCCATGGCTCCAGCAGAATGTGGGGGATGCAGCCTCCCAAAATTCCCAGATCATTTTCTATCCCCACCATCTTCCATGATACCCCCAAAAGCCCCCAACCTGTGCCCTCTCCAAATCCATGTTCCCTCCCAAACACATGTCCCCTTCAAATCCCATGTCCCCAGTCCTGTGTCCCGTCCAAACCCTGTGTTCCCTACAAATCCTGTGTCCCCTACAAACCCATGTTCCCTACAAACCTTGTGTCCCCACCAAATCCCATGTCCCCTACAAATTCCATGTCCCCTCCAAACCCATGTCCTCTCTAAATCCTGTGTTCCCTTCAGCCCCCACACCACTCACCCTGCGAGGATAATGGGTGACCCAGGCAGGTACCTCCAACCTTCCCTGATGCCACCAGCACCTATATAATATCACGAAGGTCAGAAAATCCCTCCCCTCTTCCCACTCCAGCAGCCCCCAAGAAATCCCTTCCAACGGTGAGGCCATGAATGATTGATGGGGAACAGGATCCACCATTGTGCCGCCGGCGGCTGGGAGTCTCCGGCTCTTGTCAGCCCAGGAAATGAAACCTGTGGGCAGGGAAAGACGAGCTGCCCCACCAGGTCGGGGGTGACCTCGGCCATTGATTGTTGCTGTGCCCATCCGGGGAAGCCCTCAATGGCCAACGTGGGACCGTGGGCAGGCAGGTGGTGCTGTGGGGGCTATCAGCTATTGGGACACAGGGATATCCCAGATGGATGACAAGGTCTGTCACCTCTTGTTGCCGACTTTAGGAGCTCTATAAACACAGAGTCATGTTAGAAAGGAAACATTATTTATTCTGCACCAGGTACAAAGAGGAGGTTTCCACAAATCAAGCGCACCGAGGAGTAAAAGGTTAAATACAGTAAAATTTACATGAACACGCCTATCTAAAGCATCTTCTTTGCCTGCCTAATGCATATTTCTTTTAGTGATGTGACTTTACTCAATGCTTGAAACACAAAATTATTTTCTTCATTAAAGCATCTTCTGCTGGAGAAGCTGAATTACGACAGTTACTTTTGCAAAAGGTGAGAGAATTCATCCTGGGGGCAGATAATTCAAATTAAAGACGCTGCCACAGCGGCCCCAGGGGTCCTCGAGGCTCTGTCCCCCCGCGGGACCCCCGGGGCGCCAGCAGGGGGCGGCCGAGGGCGCAGCCACAGAGCTGCGCGGCGCGGCCAGAGCGCCTTCCGCCGGCGGCCTAGCTAGGCGGCTCGACCAATCACAGCGGGCGGCCGTCGGTGGGGCGGGACAAAATAGAGACAGACAGTGATCTTGACCAATCATCCAGCGCTCTTCCCAGGGTGGGGCCCTTAGGGTGTGGCCCCGAGGACGGAAGGGGCGCTGCGCGTTCCCGTTCCCTCAGCATTGCTTCCGGTGCCGCCGCCGCCGCCGCCGCCGCCGCCGCCGCCGCCGCCCGCGGGATGTAGCGGCCGGTGAGGGACGGGCAGGGGACGGGGGAGTCCGACTGCCACCGGAACGGGCGGGGCCGCTGCTTCCAGCTCACCGGGAAGAGCCCTGCCGCCGGTCTCCCCGGTCCCGGTAACTCTGTGCTTCTTCGTCCCCCCAGCGCGGCGGCAGAAGGACGCGGAGGGACCTTCAGCGGCTGCCTCGGAACCGCACGCACCTGCCGCCTCGATGGCGTCCCGCAAGGCCCCCGCCGGGGCGGGCAGCGGGCTGGCGGCCGCCGGCCGGGACCGGGAGCGGGAACGGGCGCACCTGGAGCTCGCCGAGCTGGGGCCGCTCCTAGAGGAGAAGGGGGACCAAGGAGCCACCGGCGCGGCCAGCGTGAGCCCCTCCGAGACCCCTGGGCGGGAGGGGATCCAGAACCTGGCTCAGTCTCCTCGCTCCGTCCCCGCGGATTATCCCGAGAATCTGCCCGTTATCCCATTAATAGCTAGAGGAGTACGGCTCTGTATCGTTCCTCGGGCCGGTCCGTGTTCCGAGCCGGCCCAAACTCTGCTCCTGCCGAGCAGGCATGGAGCCGGGATAGTCCTTCGCAGGGATGTCACCGGGATCGCTGTGTCTGTGCCGGATATTCTCAGGGTGTTTCCAGTGCTCCAGTATTTCCACAGGGCAGGGAATCACCTTTCCGAGCCTCTCCCCGGCTGAGGAGGGCGGGAGCTGTGCCGGGACTCGGAGCGTTCCCAGCTCGGAGCCGCCTCTGCTCGGGTTGGCCGGCTCGGGTCTCCCGGCTGGGCCGAGCGGCCATTCCAGCCTTGGTTGTAGGGATGAAAATCCCTCGTGGTAATCCCGTTTTTCGACAGGATAAATCTGAGATTAGCCCGCCCTGCATAGGTCAGGCAGCAGTGTGTTGCATAAACGAGGGTGACCAGCGGGTCCTGCCCGTCCCCTCAGAGGGATGATTGCCAGCACCCCCGGGTGCTTTCAGAAGGGCAGGGATGATTCCTCTCCCGGGGGCTGGAACGATTCCCTCCTGGCTCTTCTCCCTGCAGGCCGAGGACCCGCCGTGCCCTGCGGCCCGCGAGGAGGAGGAGGTGGTGCGTGTGCTGACCCTCCCCCTGCAGGCTCACCATGCCATGGAGAAGATGGAAGAGTTCGTGTACAAGGTACGGTAGCCTGTGGCGATCCCCCGGTCTTGATTCTGGAGCAGATTTCCCAATCCGCGGGTTTGGGGTGACGGGATGTGTCCGGATAAAGCTCTACGTGGCTGCAGCTGGCTCCAGCTCTGCTGGGGTGCTCCCAGCAGCATCCCCGGGAAGGAGATGGCCAGGATGGGGTTGGCCCAGCCATGGTGGATGAGGACCTGGGAGCAATCCCAATGTTCCTGCAGGCTTGTGTGGGGCCCAGGAGCTCTGCCGGTCGGGCCGGGGTGTCACCCAGTGCCCCCAGTCACCGCGGCTCCTCTGCTTCATCTGTGATCAAATGGGGGTTCCCACCACAGGGAACAGTCTGTGAATGTGGAAGGGTTAAAGCTGAGATTATTAATCGCCCCTGACTTCCTGGGAGGGTACTGGAATCACTCTCTTAGGGGGCTGGGGGTCAGTCCTTGTGGGAACTGAGGTGGGGGTGAAATCCCGGGGGTGCAGGACATGGGTAAGTGGCTTACAGGGTCCCACAGGGTACCTGACGTTGGAGAAGCCAAACTTCCTCTCCCCAAGGAGCATCCCAGGGCTGGGCTGTTCCCCGTGGATTTGGGGCTTTGGGCTGCTCTGATCCTCCGAGTGTGTTGCAGGTGTGGGAGGGACGCTGGCGTGTGATCCCATATGATGTCCTGCCCGACTGGCTCAAGGACAACGATTATCTCCTGCACGGACACCGGCCCCCCATGCCCTCCTTCCGCGCCTGCTTCCGCAGCATCTTCCGGATACACACCGAGACAGGCAACATCTGGACACACCTGCTGGGTGACTGCGGGGAAGGGGGAACCCTGGGGCTGGAGGGGCTCAGGCCCTGCATTAGTGCCTGAATGGGCTCAGTGCTGGGTCCTTTCCATGCCCAGAGCTCCCTGTGTGGATCCTGTGCATGCAAGAGGATCAGACATGGAGTGCCTGGAGCTCTTGAAGCCCCTTGGGAGAGAGGGACCAGCACTGGGCTCAGCCACTAGAGGAGTGGGATGGGGAGATGTGTCCTGGGCACAACAGAGAATCCTCAGAGGATGTTTCTCTGAAATGAGTCCAGAGGAGGTCACAGAGATGCTCTGAGGGTGGAGCTCTTCTGATCTGGAGACAGGCTGAGAATGCTGGGAATACTTTGCCTGGAGAAGAGAAAACTTCAGGGAGAACTTAGAGCCTCTCCCGGTACCTAAAGGGGCTCCAAGAGAGGTGGAGAGGGACTTTGAACAAGGGCTGAGAGTCACAGGATAAGGGAGAATGGCTTCCCACTGCCAGAGGGCAGGATTAGATGGGATAGTGGAAAAAAATTCCTCCCTGTGAGAGTGGTGAGGCCCTGGCCCAGGTTGCCCAGAGCAGCTGTGGCTGCCCCATCCCTGGAAGTGTCCAAGGCCAAGTTGGACAGGACTTGGAGCAACCTGGGCTGGTGGAAGGTGTCCCTGCCTATGGCAGGGGGTGGAATGTAGTGAGCTCTAAGGTCCCTTCCCACTTAAACCAGTCTTGTTTCCACGGCCATGTGAAACACAGCAGCTCAACAGCTCTTTGCCCTGTGCCTGCCCCTTCTTCTGACCCTTCTCATTTGCACTAACAAAGGCCTCAGCCAAGGACCCACTGCGGGTTACTGAGTACCCCTGTGATACATCCAGGAGCATGGCCAGGGCTTTTCTTATCCTGGCTCTGCTGAACTCCCCCACTGTCCCCCTGACTTCTCTCTCCATGTGTTTCTGCAGGGTTTGTTCTGTTCCTCTGCCTGGGGATCCTGACCATGCTGCGGCCCAACATGTACTTTATGGCTCCTCTCCAAGAGAAGGTGGTGTTTGGAATGTTCTTCCTGGGAGCAGTGCTATGCCTCAGCTTTTCCTGGCTTTTCCACACTGTCTACTGTCATTCGGAGAAGGTCTCACGGACTTTTTCAAAGTGAGTCAGCGTGAATATAGTTGTGTGGTCTCCTGGGAGGTTTTGGGTTCTTGCAGCACTTCGTCCTGGAAAGCAAGTGTTCCCAAATGTTTTATCCCTGGGGGAAGGGAGCATCCGCTCAATCCAGCATAGAACTGAGGGGGACCACAGCAGGGTTCTGCCTGAGCACCTTAAATGTGTCAGGTCATGGGCCTCAGGTGCATGATAAAGATTCTGAGACTCTGCAGTTCCCAATGGAACAGGATCCTGGCTCCCAAGGGAACAGACTCTGTACTTCTCATAGCAGTGAATTGAGAAGGGATCTCACTCTCACTGGGCAGCTGGGGGCCATGGCCAGTTTGGCAGGTCCCAGTTTACTGGATGCTTTTAAAAACCTCTGTTTTGGATCCAGTTTG